TTTTTGTCAATCTCTGCCACCTGTGGCGCCGACGCGAAATCACTCTCGCCCTGAAGGGCAATTTATAATGCAGCCGTCCGTACAACCCTCTTATACCGTTGTGAAGCCTGGACCATATAGTCCATTGACTTAAAGAGGTTACTCACATACGACCATCGCTGCCTTCGCAGCTTGGCTCATATCTGGTGAGAGTACCGCGTAAGCAATGAGCATGTCACGTATTTGGTGCAGGAAGAGCTGGTGAACTGCTCAGCGCCATTTGAGCACGCATCAGGCTCCAATGACTGGGCCACGTGTTGCACATGCCAGCACACCAACTGCGGCGACATGCTTTGTTTGCGCGTTGTGGGTGCGGTTGGAAGAGGAGAGGGAGAGGCTAAACGATGACCTGGTCGCGAGAAATGAAGACCTTCACTTCGCAACTGGCCTCGGTTGGTGCATGCCGACTGCCTGGCTGACGAGGAACACGTTTGGTTGGACACACTTGCTGATTTGGCGAAGAGCTGGCGTTTGTGTTGTGTGTCTCTTTATCCCTCCGCTCTCCTTTAGTCTCACCAGCAACAATGACCTCTAAACCTATGCATTAGGTTACTTTTTATTGCCTTTAAGTCTACACTGTTTTACCTCTTATCATTTATGTATTGCGCCAGATTAGCTGAGGTGTTTTTCACCCTCGGCTAACGTGTATTGATGATGATGATGATGATGCTGATGATGATGATGATGATGATGATGATGAGGAGGAGGATGATGATGATGATGATGATGATGATGATGATGATGATGATGATGATGATGATGATGGACTTGTTGTGTGAATGGATTGTGATGCCTGCTCTCTCAACTTAATGAAGTCAATTAACGTTGAAACCGGTCGTAGAGTACAGTGTTTCCGGACGGGCAGCACCCCGCACAATCGTCTGTCTCAGCAGTTACGATCGTCCCACTGGTCGACGGCCAAATTTCACTTTAATGCGAATCGCGGTCCACGTTGAGATAGCGCGTCGCGATCCATTCACACGTGCTTTAAAATGACCTTTCACACAATCAAAACTCTGTTGTTACGATACTCGTGTGTAAAATTTACGAACACTTCGCACTTTACTTGCGACCAAATTACAGATAACTATCAAAATTCAATTCATCGGCAAGTTCCCTCGCTATGCTTGAAACTGCCACGTCCGTGGGCCCTGTCTACTTCTTTGCTGATCAGAGGTAGTTCATTGTAAAGCTTGAGTTATAAGCAAGAGCACTCAAAGCTGGCAATGCTAAAAGCTCGGATAAGAAAGATGCGCAGCATGATCACATTATTCGCTGCAGATTCCCGAATGCTACATTTCTGTGTGCGGCTCAGTAGTTCGAAGGGTCCACTGATTTTATCGTTTTGTAAAGCTTTCACAAAATAATGCAATCTTCTTCCGGAAAAGAATTCTTTTTTCTCCGTCTTCCTCAACTTTCCTAAGCGGACAATCACACTGATTGTCAGGCAGATTTGACGGTTTAAAGAGTAGACGGATTTGGTAAGATTTATTTAATTCATCCTCGTTGGATTGCAAGCATATTCGTTTCCAAGATCATGAATTTACTGTAATCTACTACATACTTCATCAGTCAACCTGTCTATGTCATTTCCCGCTTTAATTCAGCATCGATTCTATCGAAGTATCAATTTTTCACCTTCCATTCATTTTTTGGCGGATTCGATGCCACATGTCTATCCCAAACTCAGAGCGAAGTTTCCTAGATGCATTCATTGAACTGTCCACCATCTTTTCTCCATTCTCACGTAAACGGACTCAACATCGTAAGCTTGACAGAATTTTGCTGCAGACCCAGCACTCTTTTTCGAAAATATTTTGTGCATCATTTTTTCGGGGAGTGCATCTCTCCAAACACTCAGAAACAAACGACGATACGGAGACGAGAATTAAAGCTGCATCTGATCTTGTGGTTGCATTTTGTCCTTCAGCTGTGAGCTGTTCCAGAGCAGTGTCAATTTCCGAGTATTTCTTCACCACGACCTTTACAGCGTGTGCCTTACTGTTCCATCTAATTTCCGCAGCCCGCTTGATACTTAGACTTGTCGCCTGGATCAAGACGTTCCAGCGATTTGCAGATGTAGAAAAGGACGAGAATAACTGGGCAATTGTATGAAACAATGTAACAGTCGTAGTAGCTGCAGGTACACAAGCCATATTCAGGGAATCGTTTTTGCATGACAAATCTTATGCACTTTTGCTATTGGTCTCTATATAGCAGAGAAGCAACTCCTCAACCCTCACTTCTCTTTCGTCCATTTTCACCTAACATAACACCTCATTCATTTGCTTTTTGTGAGAAACACCAGGAGTTCTCTATCGAAAATTAAGCGAAACGATTTGATTTTCTTGACCCGATCTATGATTTTCTTTCTCACCTGCTTTGTCAAATTACTCACAGATTGATATTGAACGTCCAAAAGTTCCCTCTATTTTCCCGACCTTAATCATCTCTCGAGAATTACAAAATACCATATTCTGTTTGGCGAGAAATTTGACGATATCCCGTGATCTAGTTGAGATTTCACGCAGTCTTTGTTTCCTTTTCCATAAATGCTTGCCCCATTTTGTCAATCGCCTTTTTTTCAACTTATCGGGTCTCTATTTTTTCCATTTGAGGAATTCCTGAGTGAGAGGAATGTCTCACAGCGAAGGGCACTGGGAATTATTCTACAGTAATAATGAATAGAAAGCAAAATTAAAATGAGCTTGGTGTATGCAACCAAATTGCCTGGGATTGTTGACCAACACTCAGAACTCCTGGGTCATAGCGAGACCGTAAGTGAACTACTGTACTGTGCAAACAGATATTACATTTTCCACGCATAAACTTCACCGATACCGGCTCAGCACCGAAACAAGCGAGTCCTCGCAAGGCATACTACGAATGTACAAATCACCGTTCTTGCGAGTGTGCAGACATATCACGAAAGCCATAGTCAACAAGCGAGGTCACTTAGGCGCTCGTGTTGGACCGTAAAACCCTTTGCCATGACCTGGCTGCTGTATAAGGCCTTATAGGTGATGATGCACTACGTTCACCTTTAACTGCTTTGGGCGCAATGTGTAAAGGGACAGATGTTTGCAAAGGCAAGAAGCAACAGACGACAGACAGAGCAATACTGCAATTTTTAACTATCGCTTTATCTGGAAATTTTTGTCATCTACACTTGGACTGAATGCCGTCCGGAGCGGACCGCCTCCTCCCAAAGCTACGCCTCCGATCTCACCTCCTAACTACTGTTCTAACCAGTACGGTACCTGTTTCTTCCATACCGTCGAAATTTAGTCTTATTTTTCCACACCTCTTCGTATCACAACTTCATCTTGTCCTATCTGTCTCGATTGTTACTTGTGTCTAAAAGTAATGATACTTCAGTTGCCAGACTGTTTGCTTGATTAAGGTGCACTAAAAAAGCGAACTATTTTCTTTTGTCACTTTACAATGTTCTCCCACCGATTCCATCTCGTAGTTTATTTACTGTGTTAATGTAAATTGCTGAAAATGTTTCCACACTAGTGTATAAAGCTTAACTTGACTTCACATGATGTCTGTTGTAGAACGGATGGTCGATCTCGAGACTGATGTACGTCCCGTTGCTTGCGGCTGGTTGCATTCACATAAATAAATGAATTTTTATTCTTGGCTACGCGAGACACGCCACAGAGGCATGATCAAGTAGATGCAAAAATGTACTGTATATCGATCATAATTTAAACAGAGATTCGGTTGCTGGTCAAACATTTGACAAATGATAGGACACTAGTGACATGAACGTGGCAGAAAATAGTCGTTACCGTTTGTTTTCTTCCTGTTGTATGTGACAAGGTATATGGAACATAGTCCAATGGATGAGCATTGTAGTCAAGGTGTCTGTAACAGAATGACAGTACAAAGCCCAGGAACTATGTGCAACAATGCTGTGGGCGACTGAAGCCACAGGTGGATAGAGAGTTTGTTTGATAAATGCAACTTGTTTGATGTGAATTCACGGTTAAACCAAATTTTTTCTAATCGCAGTTGTCGGGTCGCCTAATTTCGACGGTTGCTGGCTGGCTTCGGGAAAAACTGGGTGGTATGCATCAAACTCTTTTCCCACCATCATGCTCGTAACGTTTTTCCGAAAATACGTAGGGTCAAAACCAATTGTTCGGACCCTAGATAGCATGATTCCGGGATTGTAGTGATTCCAGTAGTGTAAGTAGAGTTTCCTTGATCCACCAAGCGTCAAGTGAATGTTCTGTGCGTTTTGGAAAGTGAGAACTGGAAAGAAGATGCGGAAGAAAAGGGAAACAAACAAATTAGCATCCATACGCAATTCTATGGTGGCGATGATATAAACCAAATGTGTAAAACTAGTTTAGATTGTACACCATTGACATACATTGTTCCATGCAATAACTTTTGGTGGAATTTGACTAGAATGCGTTCGCGTTGAAGAAAATAGGTGACGCTAATTTGTGACGGCCACAGAGGAGATGAGGGTCAGTAGCCGGCTAAGGAATATCCGGACAATCATAAGAGCCTATGAGGCTGAAGTTGCTAGATGTTTGCAAGGTCAAGAGAGAAGTCACAGTAGTCCAATTAGAACCAGAGGGCTAATGAAGGGAGAAAGAGTCAGCGGTGGACCAGATTGGTCAAAGACTGTTTGGATATTGTTCATTGCTTCTGCTCATTTGTGCCAACTTACTAATAGATTTTTTTCACAAGGCGCGTGGTTATTCTGTACGCTATTGTCGAAATTGACTTAGTGCATTGTTACAGGTTATGTCAAGGGGATTACGCGAAACCCCTCCGCAACAGTTTCTTTCATCGCCGTTCTCAACTGTTATGCTCTTTTCTCCCGAGTTTATTCACCCTTACTTTGTTGATTCTAAGCAATAACGGACCGTGTACTACACCACGGTTTACTGGTGACTGTCAATCTTAGTCTTATCTATGCAACCTTATTTTCTCCGCAGGCGCGCCATCGCACGTAAGCATCTGGGCAAGAGGTCGGAGGCTATCCAGGACTTGAAGTCTCTCCTAAAGTCCAATCCATCGAACAAGTCAGCCGCGGTCGAGTTGGCTTCTATCGTGGGTCCCACAGAAGCTCTTACGAATCCGGAGCCTATTAGCCCACCTGTAGAGACACCGCCCCGGCAATTGAACCCCCCTAGTGAACACCGCAAATTCAAACGAGTCACAATTGTGGAAGTGGGAGGAACTAATCCAGACTCTACAGTTACTACTACGGGACGAGCTGGAGTCGTTGAGGTTGCGTCTCACCGTGCTCCGTCATTTAATGGTTCTACTAGAGAGTCGATTGTTTCGGATCGGCTCCCTGGCACCACATGTTCGCATCAAGGATCTGGAGACAAGGAAAACCGCCCGTCAAGAACTACTCCGCTCACACCGGCAATAACCCTGGCTCCAAATGGACCAGATAATTGGTTTCAATTGGAACGAGAATTACGCGAGCTGAATCGTCTCGAACCACAATCCACTTTAGCAGATGCCGGAATCGCTTATCTGTGTCGTATTTGCCCCACTCGGTATGCCAAGGTGATCGGTAGTAATTTGGAGGCTACTTTCTTGACACAACTCTTACACGCTTTCAGCAAGTCAAATTCTCTCTCTCCAACAGATTTAGCCATTCGACTTGATCATCTTGCACGCTTGCCCCGCTTTGACGTTGCTTGGATGTTAGTGGACGATATCGGCAAACATGTTTTTCAGGAATTATGTGATCGTTTGCAAAACGACCCTCATATATGTAAAGATCAGCTGGAGCGCATTAAGAGGGCCTTCATCTGACTGAGTGCATGACCTCGGGGTTTGTTGCTCCCGTGTGTGTACAGACTGCACCGCACATACCCATGCTACTTCTCCGATTGTTCCGTGTGAATTCTACGCCACCATATGCATGGGAACGTTGCGTTTCACTCGCGAGATAACTATTCTTCATGCTACCTTGTGTTGATGCATTTTCTCTCGCTTTTTGCCCCCGATACACTGAAGCCTTTGAGTCATCTCCACATTCCGCTTCCTGTTTGGACACCTTCGTGCACTACAATCCTGCGGATTACCACTGATCTTCCACTCTCCTATTTTGACTGTGCGTATTGTTAAGATTCAGAAGCTCTTCTTGAGCTACATCAACCTACCCGGTGAACTTTCCTCGCTTTTATCCTTCTCCGGTCTTTCCATCTGTATATAATTCTTTTGGTTTTGTGTCAATGGCCTCAGATCGGTCCCACGGTTTGGAACAGATAGGAAGTTGGGTATCAGGATTTTCACTGGCAGCCACATTTTTACCTCTGAAGGATGTGTTTTATCTTCGTGCGTAGTTTTATATGTTCCCTGAATCTGTTTGCTTGAGATATCGATGCCGTTTTTATATCAATGGACCTGTTTACAATCCTGGTCCTTGGACACACCCCGCTTAATTCCGTTTTTGTGTCTTCGCATTAAATATGGGATCCTGTAAGCACCATTGCCAGGGAAAGGAGCCGTCTCCGGCTGCATCTGTGAGTCTGTGTTGTCACATGTTTGACAGCTTTCGTTGATTGCGCTGCGCTCGATCCGGATGGTGACAGTGCCTACTGGTCGAATACCGTCATCTCAATTACTGGTTGATCGTTGTCGGGGGCGACAGGATGTATAGTCTTCGTGACGGTGTTAAACTCAGAATTCTTCCACCTAGTATGAAACGGGCTACGGCCCAGCTGATCTCCATTCTGCGTCTGGTACATGTGTTCTCCCAATTTCAGCTGATGACACTCGTCCCAAAGACAGCAGCATGACTGATTTTGTTTCTACTTGGGTTTTTCAGTTAGGCGCGGCACGGCTGGGACTCAATCCCAAAGAGTCGTAAATGTTGATAGACATCTACACCACAACGCTGACTATATCTGGTGACACTGTATACGGCCGAACTCAGTGACAGTTATAACACTCAGGGTATATGATTACAATATAGCATTCGTCCTTTCCATACCGCCACACGATAAACGATGCGGGCATATATTTCCACAGGTTCATATCTAATGGGGAAAGCATGCGCGAATGGTTTATGGGCCCAAGTAAAACAAACGGACGATTGGTGTAGCATTGATTTCAAACTGGAAAGCAAAGCACGATGGCTGACATGTAAGTAGGAGGATAAACACGTTATTGATCAAATTGTCACTTCAAGTAGCACAGTACGGATGGAAAGTACTCAAGTGGTTCACTGTGCGATGTCATTATGCATAAGTCATTGCCAGCGATGTGGGTCGGGGTGGTTTGTTGTTCGCCATCTGCCCCGGACCCGTCCGCCGACGCTACCCAGACTGGCCAGGTTAAAGCAACCCTCAACGCATTCGTAACTCTACACCAACCACTATGTTTACGCAGCTGTTGCTTTGGCGAATTCCAATGCCTCAGCGGTCAAACTCTGGGGCGTTGATTGCAACCACCTCCGAATGGTTGCGATGTTATCCATTTCGATTTCGGCCGGTGGCGGAAAGGATTGCGCGCCTGACTTTCAATCCTTAGGTCACCGGTTCGAATCCGAGTAGGGGCGGGCGTCCTCACGGTATACTCAGCCCACGCGCGACCGGTGCTGGTCGCGTAGTAGCGAAGCGTCGGTACAGTGTGCCGGCGTACTATTAATGACTTCTTTTGCATGCATCGCTCATTCCTCGGTAGCCGTGGCATGCGCTTCTTGTTTTCTGCTGACTTTATGCGCAGCTCTCTAACTGTTTGATCTGTGCACACTCATTGCGGTTAATTTTGTAGACGCCATTGCTCGTCCTATCTACGGGGAAAGTCTTTCAAATACACCAGTGTCAGGCGGAACACGACTTCTTGGAAAATCACCTTCATTTTTTCTCTGCTTAGTCTAAGCGTCAAAAACGCTTGGGAATTAAAGCAACGCGTGTCCCGCCGGGAAATCCACAAGAACCAAAACCGGTGCTCCTGAACAGATTAATCATAGAAAAACAAACAATACCTTTACGATTCCCGAGCTCGAATGCACCAAGAGGTCCTTCAATACAAAAGCAATCTCTGGGTCAAATCCCCAGGCCGATCCGTGAACCAAAATACAATGAAATGATCTCGCACAGGCATAGGGAAACATGTAAAGGTGTACAGACAGGTCGTGCAATCTGACCAATAAGAATATGTGGTCGCCGACCAATGAGGCTCTACTCCGATCAATGCAAGATCGCCTCGCCTGTCAGGAGCACAACACAAGAATGGACATACAAATGAGTGCGTGATGTCAAGGTCATTGGAACTGAAACGCGACTGAATGGGGGTAGCTGCACTGTGAGACGGTAGTAAGGCAGACAGGACAGAATGCAGTTCAAACAGGGAACGATGCCGTTAACAAGAATGAAGCGGAATTCGGACGTAGGGGAAACATGAATAGTGAAACGCCATACTAGGCAGTGTCGATGACGAAGAGAGTTCGTGCAGGATTGGGGCAAGCGTAAATGTTTGGGCATACGGACAACTCCGGTTACATCTAGTACTCTCCTGACGACCTCTAAAGTTCATCATTATAAGAAATCCCTACTTCCATAATCCATTCCGTGGTATGCCGTTGGCGTGGGTTTAGAACACCTGCAATTGGCTTTTCACCGATCGTCTCAGTTATCCACTGTCTAGCAATTAGTTCATTGCCTGCCTCCGAACAGCTTTTTTTATCCTTTGCATGGGGTCTTGGTATTGTGAAGCAGAGATGAGGCTATACCAGCATACTCATGTTTTGGGTGCTCTGTACTGAAGCGGAGTATCCCATCTGTGTCCGCCGATTTACGAAATATTGTTTTTTATCTCGCTCCCCTCCCTATGAATTAGAAATTCAAAAAATGGCAATGTACTAATGCAAACTTTCAATTTCATGGTGAAGCTTATAGTCTCAAGGATGGAGTTCAAGTGCTCACCACAAATATGTCATTCAACAAATGTTCGGCGCGCGGTTTTACAGCGGGTCAGCACCCTCCTAGATTTAGCGGAAAATATATAGTATGCTGAATGAAACCGAACGTGGGTTAAACATTTGCCTTAACTAAATCTGTGATAAGAGCAGTTCTACCTAATATTGAATCTACAATACAACTAAATAACTAACTGGTATATTCCTCGACGACTAGGTGGTCTGACTAATGTGCACAGCAAGATCGTATAAAGCAAATGGTTGTTCACGCTTTATACACTAGATCCCGTATGGATTTTTAACGTAATTGGTAGTTTTAAGCTATTAGAGGAATTGGGAACAATAACGAATTTGACTTTAATCAACTGTTCTAGTAAAGTAATACGCCCATTCCCGGAACCGCCCTCATGGGACCTGCTTCCATGCAGCGTATTCCTTCAAAGGGATTCGCCCGCACTCCCATGCTCTACGTGGCTGTGTGGCAAAGTAGCAAATAAGCCATCATCTCTCTAACTAATATTGTTTTCTTTTTAAGGCTGCTTTTATGCGTACATTATGGGCGATGGGGCCTCAGCCCGCCCCGTCATACAGATTATCCAAGTCTGGCATTTTTATACACCACTCAGTCAGTGGCAATGCGTCTTGCATGGGTACAACTTTCCAAGCTTGGAAGCTTCAGTTCGTCACAGGAGATAAATCCATTAGTGTTCAACAATGCAATAGGGAAGAGCATAAAATATGAAAAATATAAGAAGTGTAAAAACGGTAATGCCAATAAATAAGCAAATCGCATAAAGGATCGACATATTATACGATCAAATTTTGTGGCGTGACAACCGAAGACAGATAACTGCCCGAATTATCAATAGGCAAGAAGGTGCATAAACGCATTTCCGGTCATTATTAGTTGCAGATATTCGTACAGTAGTGTTACTCCAAGACGAAAGCAGAAAACAGAGCTGTTGTAGTAAGACAGTTACTCGCGTAAACAATTAACACTGTACACCAAAACAGAGTGCTAGGCATTCGAGTCACATGGACACAGAACCACGTTACCAATCAGTGGTTACGGCAGACGGCCAATAGTCGTAGTACACACGAACGCACGCACGCGGTGAGTGTCTAACAGGCGCTTCAAGTAGTTAATCCGATATCGCCAACCACTGGAATTAGGTATGCGCTTCTAAACTGTTAAGTCCGGAAAAGAAGGGGAAATGGTTAGCATTACAGAACCAATGTAGCAAAGAAAATCACGGAACAAATGTTACGCGTTAGCCAATTTGGGGAGAGGAGGGTTACACAGTGATGTTTCGACCTGGGTCTCGTCAGTGGTGCGCCTTCCTCGGACTCCTGTCAAGTTCCGAATCCGATGACTTCCGGATACCAGCAGCCAGTGCCACTAAGCCATGGGTGACAACGGCGGACTTGCATGACTGAGAGTTGTCTACGATATAGCCCGGTTCATCCTCCACTGCGATGCCAGTTACGATCGGTACCGAGGACAGTAGTTGGCCCCACGAGCTAGGAACTTTCCGCATAGCGACTGTGTACGAAACGGCGCAGAATCAATACGGACGGTGAAGGATGAGCCGGGCTGTATCGTAATCAACTGTCATTCATGCAGGTCCGCTGCCGTCACCCATGGCTTAGTGACACTAAGTGTCGGAAGTCATGGAGTGGGAACCCGGAAGAAGTCCGAGGATGTTGCACCGCTCATGAGACCCAGAATGTCGAAAAGCTCTGTCTGGTGTTTTTCCAGACGTGTAAAAGTCTGCTGGCTGAGTGGGAACTGCGGCGAATTACGTGGGAGCTTACACTAAAATCCCCACTACTCATGAGTAACTTTGGATATTGTCTACTTCAGCAGTATGCTAAAAGCTTGGGAATGTGTACACACCCCTTAGATGGTCGGCAAACAATTTAAGCTTGCTAAATTGTATAACAGACCAGGTCATTTAAATACAGCAGGAAGTGTGACTAACGTAACCCTACCCTGCACTGCTCCACTAGTGACCATACGAGGTAATGAGATGTTGCCACCTATATCCACCACTCGCAGTCGTCCTACGAGGTACGATTAGAGCCCAGAGAGGAACGGATTTGTTTCACCGTAATTACTTAATTTTATACAGAAGCCCCTTGTGTGGAACTCTGTCGAACGCTTTTTGCATGCCAAGGAAGACGACGGTACACTGTAGACCTGAATCAATTGCTTCAGTTATATGGTTAAGGGAGTCAGCTTGACAGGTCACACACCGGCGAGACTTGAGGATACCATGCTGTGGAGGTGAGAGAAGGTGATGAGATAATAGGAACGAAACCAAATGATTCTTAGCAATTCTCTCTAACATGCATGAGAGAATAGCAGTGTGGGTGATGGGACAGTAGTTCCGGATGTCAGTCTCGGTATAACGGTAGACGTCTTCCAATGTTCGGGATATTGACCTGACTAGAGGGAGGTAGAGACGATATTCAGTATTAGGAAGGCGGAATCTTCTACACCGTATTTGACTAAAGCAGATGAGATCCCATCGGGGCCGGGTCTTTTGGATAGTCCTGTACGCACGTACGAATACAACT